GGGGGGGGGGAATCCGGTGAGGGGTGCAGTAACAGCGGCAGCGGCGGGGACCGAGTGGCCGTGACAGGATGGCGACGCCGCCTGAGGCGGCCCCCCCGGCCGCGGACAGTCTCTCGGACGTGAGGAAGGCGGGTTACCTGAGGAAACCCAAGAGCATGCACCGGCGCTTCTTCGTGCTGAGGGCGGCCAGCGAGCTGGGCCCGGCCCGCCTCGAGTACTACGAGAACGAGAAGAAATGGAGGCACAAGGCGGGCGCCCCGAAGCGCTCCCTGCAGCTGGAGAGCTGCTTCAACATCAACAAGAGGGCCGACTCCAAAAACAAATACCTGGTGGCTCTCTACACCCGAGACGAGTACTTCGCCGTGGCTGCCGACTGCGAGGGAGAGCAGGAGAGCTGGTACCGGGCTCTACTCGAGCTCCATAACCGGGCCAAGGCGCCCGAGGAGAGGGCCGAGAGGGACACCGGGCCCCCGGTGTCTGCGGACGACGGCCTGGGGGAAGCCAGCCCGGGGCCGGCCTTTAAGGAGGTTTGGCAGGTGGTGCTGAAGCCGAAAGGTTTGGGTCACAGTAAGAACCTGGTGGGTATTTACCGGCTGTGCCTGACCAACAAGACCATCAGCCTGGTCAAACTGAACTCGGAGGCTGCGGCCGTGGTCCTGCAGCTGATGAACATCCGGAGGTGCGGGCACTCGGAGAATTTCTTCTTCATTGAGGTGGGCCGGTCGGCGGTCACCGGGCCCGGGGAGTTCTGGATGCAGGTCGATGACTCGGTGGTGGCCCAGAACATGCATGAGACCATCCTGGAGGCCATGAAGGCCATGAGCGAGGAGTTCCGGCCCCGCAGCAAGAGCCAGTCGGCGTCCAGCTCCAACCCGATCTCGGTGCCCCTCCGGCGGCACCTCAATAACCCACCGCCCAGCCAGGTGGGCCTGAGCCGCCGCTCCCGTACCGAGAGCATCACCGCCACCTCGCCGGCCGGCAAGCACAGCTCGTTCCGGGTGCGAGCCTCCAGCGACGGCGAGGGCACCATGTCCAGGCCGGCGTCCGTGGACGGCAGCCCGGTCAGCCCGAGTGCCGGCCGGACACACTCTCACCGGCACCGGGGTGGCTGTAGGCTGCACCCCCCTCTCAACCACAGCAGGTCCATCCCCATGCCGTCCACCCACTGCTCCCCTTCGGCCACAAGCCCCGTCAGCCTGTCCTCCAGCAGTACCAGTGGCCATGGGTCCACCTCCGACAGCCTCTTCCCGAGGCGGTCCAGTGCCTCCATCTCGGGCTCACCCAGCGATGGGGGCTTCATCTCCTCCGATGAGTATGGATCCAGCCCGTGTGATTTCAGGAATTCCTTCAGAAGTGTCACCCCAGATTCCTTGGGGCACACTCCTCCTGCAAGGGAGGAGCAGGACTTAAATAACTACATCTACATGGGGAAACATTCGAGCCTGGCTCCAAGTTGCCAAAACAGGGGCAGTCAAAGGTGGACTCCCAATAAAGCTGAGGATGCAGACTCCGACAAAGGGTTTAGGAAGCGGGCTCATTCATCAGGAACCTCACCACCCACAATGATGCACCAAAAGACCTCTTCTCAAACATCTGCCACCACCTTTGAGGAGTACACAGAGATGACTCCATCTTGCCCCAGTGGTCGCTTGTCATCCAGTAAAAATTCTGCTTTTGTGCCTACTCACTCATACCCCGAGGAATGTTTGGATCTCCAGTTAGGAGAAGGCAGACGTTACAGCCAAATGGATGATGGTTATATGCCAATGTCACCTGGGGTAGCTCCTGTACCCAATAAAAATGACTACATGCCAATGAGCCCAAAAAGTGTTTCTGCCCCACAGCAGATTATCAATCCACGCCAACATTCTCATAAAGATGGTTACATGATGATGTCACCGAGTGGCAGCTGTTCACCAGAAAACGTGAACTATGGGAAAATATGGACTAATGTGGGCAATTCTAAGCTTTCTGTTGAGAGTAATGATGGGAAATTATCATGCAGTGATTACATAAATATGTCTCCAGCAAGTTGCTCAACAACAAGCACTCCACCAGACTGCTTCTTCAATCCAGTTGAAGAACCTCATAAACCCGTTTGTTCTTACTTCTCACTGCCTCGCTCCTTTAAACACGTACATAGAAAGAATGATGAGTCCCCTTTACGGATTGCTGTAAATTCAGGCCGTCTTTTGTATTGTGAGGATTCTTCTTCGTCTACGAGCAGCGATAGTTTAGGAGGTCAAGATGGTGGACATCATACAGTTAACTCTGCTAAAAAGGAATTGTATGTACCGATGAAAGGTAAACTTGTACGACCCACTAGGCTGTCACTCGATAACACTAAGGCGAGTACATTGCCCAGAACACGCGAGCATCCCCTTCCTCCAGAGCCAAAAAGCCCAGGCGAGTATGTCAATATTGAATTTAGTGACAAAACTTTTTCTTCTAGTTCATTGTCACTTGTTGAGCCCTCTTCAGTTGGAGGCATGCATTCTGTCCGACAAAGGCCACCTGTGTCAGAATACATGAATATGAATTCAAGAATGGACTCGTCCAAGTTTGGTTATGTATCAAAACCCACAGGGGACGTCACCAACTCTGCAACTGCCTGCGCATCCAGCACCTGCAGAAAAGATAGAGGCCAGGCAAGCTGTGATTATGTTAGTATGCAGCTAGTTAACACCTGCACAGACTTGCTGGAATCATCAGTAAGTAACTATAAAGAGATGACAGTTGGTGGAGGTATAACGTCTTCCATTTCTGTTCTACCTCGGGCAGAAGAGAGCTCATTGACCACTGTTTCTGATGTCGTGGCTGGTCCTACGATGGATCAGATTTCAGGGAGGAGTGCCTTTACTGTGCTTAATCTTGTCCCTAATCGAAACCAAGGTGCCAAAGTTATCCGTGTTGATCCCCAAGGAAGAAGAAGACACAGTTCGGAGACTTTTACTTCCACAGCCAATGTGACTGGCATGACCCTATCTTATGTTGATCACATTAAACGCCATAGTTCAGTGTCCTTTGAAAATGTGTGGCTTAACAAACCAGGTGATTCCCTTGTTGCAGGTGCCAAAGAGCAACCAAATGATGCCACAGTGCAGAATGATTGTGAAAATGTTATGAATTACATTGATTTGGACTTGGTAAACGATTTTAAAAACAAAGGTTGGACCTCCTCTCAGCATATAACCCCTCATCAACCTCATGGAAATACCTCTGGTGGTGGTGATGAACTGAATTCGTATGCAAGCATCACGTTCCAGAAACCGGATGAAATTGCTAAGCCTACAGAAAGGGAAGGTAAGGGCACAGAACTAAATGCTAATATTTTGCTTTGTGAGCAATTTTTAAAATTCTTTGTCCGGCATTCAAAATGTTATGTTTCGAAATGCATTTCTATACCCTTTACCTAAGGACTGAAAACAAACGTGTACAATACAATTCTAGCTTCTTTGTTTAAGGGGGAAAAAAACCTTCAGTTTGAATTCAGGATCTTCAGCGAGTGAGTAATTTATGAAATGTATCTTCATATAGTTGCGTCTGAACTTGAAGCTTTATTTACAATTGCAGTAAGTTTACCCTTTAGCACCATCCCGTGCCCAACCTCTCTGAAAATCTACATATCAGCTGTTCCTCTGAATGCACTGGCTCACTTGTGGGTTATGTTTCATCGTTGCCATTGGCATCCTTACATCTGTGTAAGATGAATGGATATGCAATAAATTAAATGCTTTGGGAATTGGCTAGCTTTATGTGGTGCGCTTTTGCTTCTGTCTGAATAGTCCAATCAATGAGAGGCAGTTTCTTCATGTCGTCCCTGTGAAATGATTATTGGGTATCATGGATTTTTTTCAGTGTTGGTGCCTGATGCCAGGCAGTTTTAGCCATTGGTTGTCATTGTGGTGTATGTCAGCCCACAGCTGATGTCACTACTTTTCCCTGTTAACAGCAGTTGTCTTTCTGGTGCAAGATTTGATGTTCAGTGCTTTCATGTCACACCTGAAGCAGAGTTTTGGGTTGTGGCTATTGGTTGTGGCTACTCTGCAGTGCAGAAAATCCTTTGGTATGATACAGTCTTCCATTCTGCAGACGTGTCTGACTCATCAAAGTTGCCTCTGCTTACCAAGTGCTGACATACATGGAAGTTTTGCCTTTGAGAATATTGCCATATTTGTGATTTTGTCCTTCCATGACATGCCCAAAATGGGCTGCAAACAGCACAGATGAAAGGTCGCTTTCTTCTTGGATGTAAGTCATCCATGTTTCACAGGCATGAAACTAAGTGTTGGATTATATGTGTATTGTGTATGTACATGGTGTATAGACAGAAAACTGCTCGTGAAGATTCTTTGCTTCATTTTCGTATTCTGTTGGGCTCTATTCTTGTGAAGAAACAATCAAGTGATTCTATAAATGTTAATGCTGTAGAATATATTGCTCCCAAGAGCTAAGATTTGAATTCTTTTTAATGTGCAAATCGTGCCTTCTGAATTGAGCAAGAGAAATTTGAGCTTCCTGAAGTGGTTGCTTTGGTTGCAGGAATTGTTCAGCAATTGTAAATATGCATTTTCAAATTCAGTCTGTTTATGGAATTCTTTGTGCTCAGCGGGAGTTGATTTTGAAATTGTCAATTCAAATGAAAGTTGCTATTTTGCAGCCCCTTACATGGATGGGGAGAGAATTATGTGAAGGGCCAATGTGCTTGGCTTATCATTTCAGCTACAATAATCAGCACTACAGAGTTTGTGAGGAGCTAAACCCGGTAGTTCCAATCGTCACTCCCTGTGACTTGGCAGGAACACAGTGGAGCCTTGTAGATTTCCTTGTATCATGCTTATAAAAATAGTGAAATGTCTGTAACATTTATTGAATATTTCGAAGAAATCTGTGGAGCCACTGAGCTGCCTTCATGGTTTGGCAGACTGTTATTTCACCACAAACACACGTCACTTAACCTTTTTGACAACTGAAGCAACAGTACTGTAGCAAAATAAATCGTTTGTTTGCTCAGCAAATGTGAATTAAGGAAAGTTTCCTGAGCCATGCATTTCTCTGATGCAACAATTGGAGGGATGAGAGCCTTCAAGAATGTATCATTGAAAACATGAATTGGGATACAGTTGAAGCTTTTGCAGAGTAAGCCATATCTTTTGGAGAGATTTCGAAGGATAGCTTTGGAATCAAAGAGTAATTCATGTATAAAATATATGTGAATCATAGATTGTTTAACGAGGAAGATTGACATTTGTGAAAAAGAAGCTCTGAAGGAAATTTTCAGCACATGGTAATGCAGCAAGTGCGAAGAGATGCTGGGGGAGAAAGAGTGAACTGCCGAGTGCACTTTTGTTGTGTGCTGACAGAGGATTGAATGAAGGCCTTGTACGAGGGAATCTCAGTTTTGCGTGTAGAAATCTTAATAGGGCAGAATACCAGAGAGGATCAAATCAGTAAATATCCAATCTACTGGTATCCTATTTCTTCTGAGAGGTAATAAGCAGGAAATAGTCTGATGCAAATATAATAATTTGGCTTTTCTGATTAAGGATAATCCCCTCCAAGTGTATATCAAATTGTAAAGGTTTGCTGTATATGAACAATTCATGTCACCCAGTCAGCTGCTCAGCATTTTGTCTGTTAAGAACAGAAACAATGGATTTTCTTCAGCTATGCTGCACAGTCAGTGGAGTTTGAGTGCATAATCTGTTTGCTGAAAGAAGAATAGGTCTGAGACATGATTGTGATATCTCATGCTACCTTATCCTGAGGGCAGGTATAAACTAAAGTTTCTTTTAGCGGTCATAAAGGAAGGAATATAATGCATTTAACATGTAGTTTGTGCATCAAATGGCAAGAGACCAGCACCATTAAATATGTAAACTGTGATTGCTTTGCATCACAGAATGATGCAATTTGTGTTTTTCCACCGCTTTATTCATGCATTGTTTTGACATTTTGAAGATATTGAGTGTAGTCAGAATCTTAAATGGTCTTTGGGGTGGGGAACATAAAGGAAGATAAATTTAAATATATGTAAGCTTTATTTAATAGGTCAAGGGGGCGGGATGAGGTTAGTCGGTAGGAGATGGGGGTGCGGCTTGAGGTGGGAGGAGGGGATAGGTGGGAGGAAGAACAGGTTAGGGAGGCGGGGACGAGCTGGACTGGTTTTGGGATGTGATAGGGGGAGGGGAGATTTTGAAGCTTGTGAAATCCACATTGATACCATTGGGGCTGCAGGGTTCCCAAGCGGAATATGAGTTGCTGCTCCTGCAACCTTCGGGTGGCATCGTTGTGGCACTGCAGGAGGCCCAGGATGGACATGTCGTCTGAGGAATGGGAGGGGGAGTTGAAATGGTTCGCGACTGGGAGGTGCAGTTGTTTATTGCGAACCGAGCGTAGGTGTTCTGCAAAGCGGTCCCCGAGCCTCCGCTTGGTTTCCCTGATGTAGACGAGGCCACACCGGGTACAGCGGATGCAGTATACCACATTGGCAGATGTGCAGGTGAACATCTGCTTGATGTGGAAAGTCTTCTTGGGACCTGGGATCCGCTGTACCCGGTGTGGCTTCCTCTACATCCCATCCCAGGCCCCAAGAAGACTTTCCACATCAAGCAGATGTTCAC